TTTGCATAATTCATAGGGAGAAGTTACATGTTAATCACTTTTGGGAGTTAAAGGGTCAAAGACTGGTTGGCTTTGAGGAGTCACCCATGGCCATGCTGATTCAGTTAGCCTGAAGCTGGAGTCAAATGGAGGGTCCGTTTTCAAACCTCGTCTCTAACCATTCATCTCCAATCCGAAATATGAGTTAGGTAGAGTTTCTCAAGTTTGATAATTTCTTGCGTTAGTGGCATGAAGATACTGATTTGTAGTTTATAAATTGCCCAATCGATTAATTTTAAGCAAAGAAAAATCAAAGCCAGATAAAATTTGGATGTGATTAATAGAGGTAATTGAACTGAGTGGAGTGCAATTTGATCTGAAATCATACGATATACGAGTGATTTCAAAATCGAACGTACGCACCGCGGAACTTTGATTTGAAATAATAATTATGAATTCAGAACGAAATTGCAGGACGCGAAGTTCAATTACGGACTTCTTATATCCATTTTCAAATCACAGAATTAAACCGCTCAAATTTAGGATTTGTGTGATCATTACAAATTTTACATTGATCCAGTGCTGAGCTAGTTTGTAAAAAAGTTGTATTTTATTTTCCTCTAATTTGATTGGTTACTTTAAACTAGCCTTGGAATATGATTGATTTCTGTGTTTTTTAAGGTTCCTCATAGGCTGGAAAAATGGTGCCATTTGTGAATAAATCGCACCAATAAGAGCCAATAAGATTGCACCAGTTAATTCAAAACGGATGTAATAAATTACTTTACCAGTTTCGTACCTTCATGTAACAACTTCTTCCCTCGTGGTAAGGAATGAAGGATCGACAATTACAATTTATAATCATTTTTGAACTTCAAAGGGATAAATTGACAGGCCTAATTACAATGAAACGCCGCTGGAAGTGGCATTTGTTGTCTCTGGAACTATTTAAATAACAAACTAAGTCAGTTTGAGGTACCTTTGTTTTTGTTTTGTTTTTTTTATCAAATGAGGGATTTGTCTCCCGGGGACTACTACAATTTTCGAGCAGGTCGATGTTGAGATAATGGGTAAGTTTCTTGTAGGTGAAATTAGTAATTTCAAAATTGATTTGAAGAAAAAGGACTTAAACAATCTATAGTTTAATAGGCCCGAAATAGTTAAGCTTTTTAAGAAAAATGGTGTGAATTATCTTAAAGAATCGTATACTGGTCTCGACCATCTCTCTATTTCTTAAGTCAAACTCTTCTTTAGTATCGTAGTCATTAGTCATTCTATCAATTTCATTTTAAGTAAAGTACAATGAGGGCCACTATTTTATCAGTTTTAACTGTAAAGTGTTTTCACCCTCATTAAATAAAGTTATCTCTCTCTCTCTCTCTCTCTCTCTCTCTCTCTCTCTCTCTCTCTCTCTCTCTCTGACGATTCATGGTGTAATAGAGCTCATGCTGTTAGGGAAAGTGTGCAGGTGCACGTGCCGTTTGAGACCTCCAAAATGAACTCAGCCACGCCAGACAATGAGCGGCATAAGTGATGAATGAAGATGGTTTTATTTTTACCCCCGTTTTCTTTTCCAGGGTGGCGCATCTCAAACCATGTATTGTCAAATATGAAGTCAAGGGTTAGATGAATAAGACTTTTAGGTAGGAATGCGATTAGGGATTAAATTTCAAAGCTTTATTTCCCTAAATATTAGTGGGATGCTGTTGGAAAAGTCTTGTTACTATTTAAAGAACACCCCTGGTATATTTAACATAACTTACGCTTTTTGCTCTCTGTTCAAAAGGGAACAATGTCCCACGGGGGAACCACTATAGCCAATACTCAAATTGTTCAAGAGTGGAATAACAGTCAGATATATTCACTTCAGGGAGTCTGATGTCCCACGGAGTGCTTTCCTCCGCAAAAGAAAAGAAAAGACAGAAATAACTTTGACCGGTGTGGATGCAGTGATGTGTAATGTTTAGGTAACAATTTGCATGGTTTTAGAAGTAAGGCTGGCGACGAAGTTATTTTCTCTCTATTGTAATCTCACTGTCGAGATGTAATAAAAGGGTTCATACTAGCTGTTATTAAGAAACTATTTTTAAAAAGTTCCATAGCTGACTTGATTACAAAAATTAACCAACTCGAGCATAAGTTTTTAGAGTTTTATAATTTATGTCGCTGCATTTGTGAATTTAGAAGGATCTTGGAGTTAAAAAGATAAAAGGAACGAAACAAGCAATTGTGCAATTGTAAAGAGGGTAAGTTTCAAAAGAAACTGTGGTACTGCGTCGGTGTGTTAGAGCGACGAAGGGCTAACGCTCGAAACGTCAGCTTTAAAGATCTTTACGGTGGACAATTTACATTATCAACTTGGTTGATAAAACCAAAATAATTGTGCAATTAGGTTTTGGTTCAAAGAAATAGGCGGTTCGAAATGTATAAAGGCACTCTGAATGACCTGGGATTGCAGAGAAATATTTATTTGGAACAAGTAATTGAGGAAATTCAAATATTTGAGAAACAAATCGAACGTATTGTTTTTCCTGAATATTTTGAAATCAGACAAGGTTTGGGCGGTCTTATCTTTTTGCTGTCGGAACATTTTTTCAGACGATATCAAATTCTTTAAATGTTAATGATATACGGAAAGGCAGAGAAAAATTCCATTATTGCGTCTCATAAAATGGCTCGAAAAACTGTCCAAGTAGAGCTATGGCATTTAGCATTCATCCGTTTTTGGCTGTGAAATTTTTATTGGGGCTCGGACTTAATTATTTTAGATTAATTATTTTAGACAAAAGGATGGCAATGAATGCATTGAGAACTTGATTAAACCTTTTCATCTCGCCACTGACCGAACACAAAGAAATATTTCTGTACAAAGTAGTTATCACTTGACTTGCTCAAAGTACGGCAATTGAATAAAGAGGCTGTCTGTGTTTCTTGGAATTTTACGGGAAGGACTCTTTGTTTAAAAAAGAGAAATTTGAGCTACATACATGAACAAATTACTGGGAGTCCCTTTCTAAAAGTGTAACCCCACTTTTAGAAAGGAACTCCCTGTTAGTTGCGACAAATGATATGTATTAGGACTTTTGACAACAGCTATCAAGGTTATGATAAAAGATTTTTCCTCCTTCATTGAGATGTGTTCTTTTGAGCTGGAACTTGATTGTGCCTTTGTACAGAATATTCTTTGTGACACGTTGTGTTAACAACATTTGAGAAGGGTCCGAAAAAGGTCTTTTCCATTCCCCACTCTTTCAAAACAATAGTGCCGATATGTGGGCATGTTTCCCGCCAAAAATGTACTGAAGCCAGGTTCTGACCAGCGTTGCAGTAGTACTTAAATAGCTGATCGAACGAACAATTTAAAAGGACCTCCGATGAAAATAACAACAGGTTTAAGTATGATGCGACCAAGTATTTGGAAAAAAACTTTATATTTTGTCCTGCATTTCTGATCGCAGGCCGAAGAGAACAGGAAGAAAAAAAAACCGTTGGGTTTTTTTGTAGATTTCTTTTTCTCATTGAGAAACGTTTTATATTAAAATTGCTGAAGCCATGAAAACGTCCCATAGTGAAGAATCGGGTGGATCAGTGACTCAGAAAGAACAACATTCGGGATTCTTTAAGGTTGCTCTTCTATGTCTTGTTACTGACTGAGTGTAGGGAAGATCTTTCATGTGGTTTAAATAACATTTCTGTTAGTTTCATATTGAATATATGGAAGGCACACTTCAGTCCAAGGTTTCTTCGTTGCAACTTGTTTTTGTCAGAGTTGGCAAAGGATTATTCATGAATTTCATATTGATCATATAGAAGCTTCATTGCAGCCCAAGGACTTCTTATTCAATCCATTGCATTTCACTTTTTGAAGGGAGACATTAATTTACACCCTGAGGCAGGCTAGGTATGATATACAGTATGAACGTGCGGCTAACCATGTAGTGTACAACTGAATGTCTTAGTCTTACACAAATTCAATCTAAGGTTTTCTCATCGGATTTAACCACTTCTCGGGTTAGCGTATGAATCCACTAGAAGCCAAACTGCTAACATGGGAAAGAGATTACAGTGAAGCAATATCTTCATGGCTTAACTCTTCAGTGCTGTGTTGCGGCTGAGGACTTTTTCCTTTGGTGCTGAAAAGCCCAAGAAAGCGAAGATCCCATTACGTTAGAAAAACAAGTACGTTTTGGTCTTTTTGACGCTGAAATAATAAAAACCGGAACTCACAAAGTCCTCAGTGTGGTTCTGGACACTTCTAAAGGAGCCTGTTTGTCTCTCCAGCTGTTGTTTCAGTCTACCAAAAACACTTCCGTAATAAGTTGCATATTTTGACGTTGGGTGCGTATTCGTAATTTTGGTTTGTTTTTCCATGCACATATTGTATGTATACAGAATGAGAAACTCAGGGACTATCTAATAAAACATTGCATTCTCTATGTTTTGATACACACTCATTTATCACACTGCAAATCACACCGTTTGCAGTTATACCAAGGAACGATGCCTCAGGCAATCACGCAAAGACAGGAGAGGAAAATTCTATATCGAAACCAAGACTTTCTTATCGTGAACCAGAGTGAGAGTGTCTTGTTCGAAGAGACAGTGGAACACCATTTTTAGCGATCAGTTCGTTTTGAGAGCTCAAATTGGAAGCTGTGGGTAAACGAACATCCGAGATTTGCATCTTTCCGCCCCAGTTCTCGAGTGAAAAGCTGCTTTATAATGATAATAGAGACTGAATATCTCGTAATTCGTTTAATTATCTCTGGGCTGAAATGTTTTCATCCCTCTCAATGTGTAAAAACTGAAATTAATGGCTCAAGCTAAATTCTTGGACAACTTTCAAACAACTTGAAATAGTTACTTTATATACTTTTCAATCTGATAAACCTCATGGATTTGAGGAACCACCGAATCGCTTCAGTGACTATCTTCATCGCGACGACAAAAATCGAATTTTTTTCCGCATCTTTGTCGAAGAGGTTTCTATTACACAACTTCTTGGATATCAACCCCTCGGCTTTTTGCTTTCACTTCAGTTACGTACTAATTACTTGCCAGTCATTTCTGTTCTCAGTCCGTGATCTCCGCTCAGCCGAAGGTAATCATCATGACGGAAGCATTCTGTGATCTTTACATTTATGACTTGAATTTAGTCCTTTGGAAAACCATTTTTTTAACGTGAAGACATAGTAGACATTTTTTTGTTTAAATTTCATTTGAGATGGGTCAAGTTCAAGGCAGAATAACAATTTACTCCATAACCTGTCTGATTAGTGAATAAAAGCCGCCTGAAATTCTTATCATTTGTTCACGTACGAAAGCAGCCTTATGAATGTGGTCTTCATGAGTTTACCAGCCATTGCGAGCAAATTCATAATTAGCCTTTCCGCTTTCACAGGACGCCTTTTGGTGTAGCGTAGCGTTTCAAAGCAGGTGGAATTTATGTAATCTCTGCAGTCGCAAATTTCTTCCCTCTGTCGTCCCTTACTAAAATGCTATTCAGTGGTGAAGATAAACGAACATGTAACGTTAAAGTTACTTTTCTTTCTTTCAGACGACTTTTGAGTCATGGTATTCCAAAATTATTCCTCCAAGACACACCACTTTGATCAGCAACATAATTCAAATTGTTTCCCGAGATAAAAACCGGTACTCAGACTATTAGACAACCTTTGAGGGCTTTAGTTGTCACTGATAGACAACAATTGATGGTGTTTCACTTTAACACTCTTAATGCTACTCAATCCTTCATAAATCATGTCGGCCCCAAAAAACTGAAGAGATTTATTATCTGACCGTATTGCTCTCTTTCAAAGACTGAGCAACTTCAAATTCTTGAAAATAGCTCAGTTGCAATCGTGAGGGTAATTATTCAAGCTACTTGGAAGAAAGATTAGAGAGAAGTAAAATCACGGTACCCTCAAGAAACTATCATATACCTAAATTGCATTCGCACAGTGATTACAGGCCAATGGCATTACGATATCAACACCCGAGCTCTTGACAAATGATTTTCATCGCTTTCCCTTTCGTGATTGTTGAACTCGGTCCAAAGGTGGACTTTCACCCCTCAAAATTCTCCTTCTAATCAATGGCCAAGGTTAACGGTATAGACGAGTGCCGTTGAAAATAGATGAGAAAAAAACGTTGAGGAAATCGATCAAGTGTTAATGAGCATTAAAAGAATTTGCATTTTCATAACTGAAAGATGTAACATGAACAAGTATTGTTTAAGACAGTTGCTTTTGGCTTTTGATCAACTCTGCATTCTTGCATTTGGAAAAGAGATAGAGAAGGGGCTACTGTAGTGTCTAACTCACGCTTTTTGCCGATCAAAGCACGACAACTTATAATTTGCCGTGATGTCATAAACAATCCTTAACTTTTATTTCCTTGCCACGGTACAACAGAGCACATCTATAAAATTTTAAATGAAAATGTTGTTTTAAAAAAATGTTTTTTTTTTTTATCGTGATAGCCCGGTCGGGGTCCTCTCTCAAGAGGTTTCTCTCACACTGACGCGAAAACAAAACTATCATCGCTTATCTTAAAAGCCATATCACAATCAAATTGTGCTGTAGGTAAAAGTTTCGGATGATGGCCACCTAGAACTAGTCAAAGAAAGCCGGGTTTTTTTCGACAGCAGATACAATTGCCACCGGTCCCGTGAAATGAGGCAGGGTACGGTTTCACGAAAGTGTAAACCTTAAGAAATAAAAGCCGGCAGTTAATGATGGACAAACTACTAAAAAATATTACATTATTTATAACTGGAGCTTTTCAAATTTCTAATACTTCCAACATGTTATCTGCCAAAGAACAAGAAAGCAATTTTTGAATGCACTACTGATTTAAATGGTCATTTGAGATGAAGAAGCATTACCAAACATTTTGGATTGTCTAAGATAACTTGTTAATCTTGCAGTTGTGCACGCAACTGCTACCATCCAGGACAGGAATGAGCAGTGATTGAATATATCAGATGCAAAACCTTGTTATTTAGAGAAGCATTCTCGAAGCCTCTTCGATTTTTCCGTTTGAGTGTCTTAAGAGTGTTATTTCAAGAGCTGCGCGCATTAGTCTGAGATTCCATTAAGAGTTTTGGGGTAACCTAAATATGAACTTTTCAGAGAGACCTGACACTGACTTTCAGTGAGAGAATATTCAGTTCTTAGAAGCAAATGTGTGTGTTCCTTAACTGATTAAGCTTGTTACACCTAGTGTGCTGACTTTAATTTTAATTTCACTTGGGTTGTAACTTAGCACTGAGTTAGATGATATTGAACCGGTCACATTTTATTAACAAGATTGATCGAGATTCTCTTTTCACTGACTTTTGGACCTTTATCATTCAGTTTATCCAAGTTGGCGGAAACTTGAGATAGGTGTTTCTGCAAACGAAAGATTTTTGTTATCTCTGAAAAGTCATAAAATATCCCTGTATTGTCTACTTTATGTGAAGTATTACATTATGCTCTGTCCTCTTTTCTTTATTAAAAATCTTTCATTACTAGCACGCTCGCGATCATGCGTAATTCCTTTATGTGCGGATTCAGTCCAGAAGCTAAGGAATCCTGCTAGAAAAAACGCCTAGGTATTTCAAGCCCCAGTATTAAGATACCTCTACACTTTGGTGATTTTTTTCCATCAATCGTTGGATTCTGATAAGAGGCCAAGTTATCTCTGCGATGCAAGTGTTTAAGAGTGGCCGGTTCTTCTGAAAACTGAAATATTTACTTTGAATACTAAGCCGACACTCAGGAAGGCTTAAATGGAATACTTATTTATCTAATTAAAGTCGAGAAAGGGTGGACTATGTTTGGAGAAGCAACTGATACCAACTTCTTATCTGCGTTCAAGTGTCTTTTCAGTTTCCACTGATATTACTGCTTGGGAAAGCAGTATATATGGGACACGAACTTCACACTCCGGGCGAAGAAAATCATCATTCTTTCCGTTGCATAATGTTTTGCCATGTTGCCAATGTAGGAAGATAAAGCAAATAATTACCGATAATCGCTTGAGACAAAATTTTAAAACGCAGATAAACTCAAACTTTGTAACAACCAGCAATATTCGCGGGTGACACCATAACAGGTGTACTAATGAGAATCTCAGACACAGTTTCCTCTCAAAATTTAAAAGCATTAGTATTAAAAAGTCTCATGGAACATTTGTCTGTTTTCCTTACGAATATATCTACTCAGTTTGAATTCTTACTAACGAGCTGCGCTGTAAAAGTGAACTCTTTCTAGAGCAGCAGCTGACAGTGCCTATTACATAACATTCAGTTGGTACATAACTAAAACCTTTTCACAAAACTGTTTCTTAAGAATAAAGAGATCCAGGATTTAGTTATCATCATTGTGGTCAGACACATACAAGTCTATTTCCATTACCCATTAACACTGAAATTAAGATTCGTTGTTTGGGAATATAAGTTCCTTGTCCGGATATTTTCAAGTTTCGAGAACCTGCTCATTGAAGTGCGGGCTATGCTGTTTGTCTAAACAAAAATTGCGGAAAAAATTCTAATTTTAGAACAGGTAACTGTTCAGGAAAGTAGGATTTCATCATGGCAGCTCAGCACATTCATTAAAATCGCAATGTAGAGCTTTGTAACTTGAAATTCAGTCGACAAATAAGTTACGACTGATAAAGAAATATTGTCCTGCATAGACACCTAGTCAAGCGTCAGTGGAGTCATTGGTCTTGCAAACAGCCCGGTGGCAAATGTAACGGGATCGAATGTAGTTGTACTTTCTTAAGTCTGATCATGTAATAGTGAGAAAACACTCCTGTTTGTTTGGCAGTAGTGATCCATTTCTGGAAATTTGCGACGGAACGGCATCATCAGAAATCTTGAAGAAGAAAAGGTAATTTGTTGTCTGTGTACCCTCTAACCGGTGGCCTTTATGAAATTCCTGACCCGTATCGATTTGAATTTTTAACCTACTCGTGGGAACATTTTCCGAAAACAACGGTGGCTCCGCATAGCTCGCACTTCAGTATGTTGATTGTGAGACAACATCATGCAATGAACTATAACCAAGCACGATTCAAGTTCTGTCGCCGTGACGCAAAAATAATTAATAGTAGTGCCACCTTAACTATGCTACGTGTCCTTATTAGCGATCGGCAATTAAGAAAACTGAACTCTAAAATCAGAGATAATAACACTTTCGAAAACAGATAACGTTAATTGAAGAATGACGTTTTCAAAAATCATCCAAGGAATTTTTTAGCACGTGGCTTCATGTTCAAGACAGGTGTACATCAGAGTTTGAGGGCAGGCAGCGCGGTTAAAACACACATAGGGCAAATATAGATTTCTATCGCGTGTTTAAATCATGTCGAAAGTGTGCACCTGAAATAATAACCGCACAATTTCACTGGCCATGCTTTGGCTGTCAAAGTTGGGCGAATTAGTGCCAAGGCTGTCCATTTAATTGACACCGCTTGGGTTCGGACGGTGATAAAGAGAAGGGTGTAAACAAATTGGTAGCATTTTTTAGCGTGTGGGTTGGTAAACATAACACATCGTTAACTAAGCAGCACAAAACACACTTGTTATCATTTCAAATTCAAGCTAAAGGATTTGTGATATTTGCTTTCTCTTAAAGAATGCCTTTCACTCTTCGGTGGGCCTAATTCCATTTGCTCTCTGAAGGCAAACGCATTCTTTGAACAAAGACGTCACTTCTAATTATCGATGCGTGCACTTTAAAGAGAAAGGAAACCGGAGCGTGTTATCTCGAGCGTTTTTTGCATGAAAAACAACTCGGGCGCTGGCAAGCCACACACTTGGAAACAAACGACGGCAATTTGAGAAAATTCTAGTCTTTATTACAGTATTTACACACGATAGATAGGTTGGCACACACACACGGAAGGTTCTGTGACAGTCCACTAAATGCCTCTGTCAAAAATGGATTTCCTGTAAATCTGTCGGCGTACTCGGCGAGCTTCCATTTTCGATTTTATCTAATGGAGTTTCCGTGACATTAAAATGAAGTACTTCTTCCATCAGTCTTTGACACGATTGCAAGTATTCCTGAAAAAAAAAAATCCTAAAATAGATCACTTTCCACTTTGTTTGTTTTAGCGTTTTCATTTTTATGCAAAGAAACGTTGTGTCTTAGGGAAGAATGTTTCTCTTTCTAGCTGATGATATCTCAAATGACCAAAGCGCGGGCCTCTTGGTGCAAAAAAAGTAAAAAACTGAAATCTTAAAAACAAGAGATAAATGTGTGAAAAACCTGCGGGTGTTATCAAAATTTGCGCATGGCTTTTTCCTTATTTGCTCTTTGCAAAACTTTGTTTGCACGGCATAAATGACAAGTCATTCCGAACACTTTTTAATTCAAATTATACAATTTTTTTCCTTTCATCCGTACCGGTTCGATATTTGTGAGCCCTTGTAGGAATGATTCAAGTTCTCCTCTTGTCCACTCGCTTTTTTGTTCTGTTGTTGTGAGACCAGCAACAGCCGCGCAAATAGACGACGCAGCCAAAGTGGATGGTGGGTACATCAAAAACTTCTCATCTGAAAAATGAAGAATTTAAAAAAATTAAAAAAAAGGCATGTAGTTATGTTTAAAAATATAATATGGCAAAAATAAAGAGAAAAGCATAA